GTTCTGTCGTTCTGTCTGTCTGTCGTCCTGTCGTTCTGTCTGTCTGTTTGTATCGTTTTATCCATAGTCCTGTATGTCATTTTATCAATTTATCGTGTGATGTTTTATCTATCGTTTCATTGTTCTGTCTGTCAATTTATCGTTCTATCTATTGTTTTATCATTCTGTCTATCAATGTATTGATCAATCAATTTATCCTTCTATCTATCAATCTAACATTTTATCATTTTATCCATTGTTCTATCTATCGTTTTATCTTTATATCTATTTTTCTGTCTATCGTTTTATTGTAATGTGAATCAGTTTATTATTCTATTTATCATTCTATCTATCATTTTATCATTCTATCTATCACTTTTATCTTTTATATGTATTATCTATTTATCAGTTTATTGCACTGTCAATCAATTTATTGATCTATCTATCTATCTATCTATCTATCTATCTATCTATCTATCTATCTATCTATCTATCTATCTATCTATCTATCTATCTATCTATCTATCTATCTATCTATCTATCTATCTATCCATCTATCCATCTATCCATCCATCCATCCATCCATCCATCTATCTATCTATCTATCTATCTATCTATCTATCTATCTGTCTGTCTGTCTGTCTGTCTGTCTGTCTGTCGTTCTGTCTGTCGTTCTGTCTGTCATTCTGTCTGTCTGTCTGTCTGTTTCTTCCTTTACATATCCATCCATCAATTCATCCATCTATCCATATATCCAATCCTGTATGTCTGTTTATCTGTCTATTATCTCTTTCCACTGCTCATTCCCTCTCTTCATTTTGATCTGTCTGAAAATATAAAATCTAGACTTCTTAAAATATTTTAGCTGATGTCGCAGATAATGACCTTGTGAAAGTTGTGATGCAGGGGAAGCAATAATGGAAACACAAATGAATCATCGCATCCATTTCTTCCTTTTTTCCCCCCACAAATGTAGAGAACGCTGACTGACTGAGGATTTGAGAATCTGATTAATTTATGATCACTTTAAGATTTAATTCCTACAACCACAGTACATTTCAACATTTGGGTATAAACAGGCCAACCTCTGCCAAAAACATTTTATTTACAAAAAGTTTCTAATGCTTTTACCAAGGACAGTTTTTGGTAAAATGACATTGATATGACATGACACTCTGTACTCTATTGCAGTGTTTTACAAGGACATGTGTGATGTTTAGAGTTTATTTATTTTATTTTTTATTTTACCGTAGTTGAACCAGTCATGGGGCCCTATCATACACCCAGTGCAATGAGGCGCAAGGCGCGACACAATAGTTGTTTGCTAGTTTCAGCTTGGCGCAGGGGTCGTTTTGATGTTTTGCGCCACGCTGTTTAAATAGCAACTGCATTTGCGCTCATATGTGCGCCCATAGGTGTTCTGGTCTAAAAAGGAAGGTGTTCTGAGGCGCACTGCTGGCGCACTGCTATTTTGAGAAGCTATAATAAATTTTTCAATAGACCAAAACAAAGCCAGTCTAAAGTCCAGAGCAGAGCTGTTATGCGCCTCGCTTACACACTGCTTAATACACATAAGATGTAGAGCAATACGCAAATATCTTAAAGCAGAGTTAGTTATGCGCCTCGCTTACACACTGTTAAGAACTTTTGTTCTTAAACAGAAGCATGTACATCAATATTTCTCTCATATTATTGTAGCACAGTTTGTGCTGAATACAATAACATACATGTTGGCCAATACTATGTAATAAGTACCTGAAATAAGCACACATGTTAGGGCATGTCAAAACAACTTAAGGTCCCCAAAATCACCTCATGCCCCAAAGGGTTGATGAGCTCTTTTGACATTCAATTTACCTCAGCTTTCCTGTGATGGTTGGGTTTAGATGTAGGGGTGGGGTAGGGCCATATAATAAGTTTTATTATTATAAATTTTTTTGCTGTATAAAACCCATTACGCCTATGGAGAGTCCCTGTAAACCAGAAAATACCAATGTCTGTGCATCTGTGTGTGTGTCTATGGACTTCACACATTATTTATGGATCCGTCATCCACTTTGAAAACATGTTTATTAGCAGACGTTTGATGTGGTGCAGTCAGTGATTGCATATCCTGCACACGTCCCCTACATCAATGTCTGCCTGTGTTCAGTTTTGTCTTTGTGCATATTTAATGTGACGTTACCACAGATGTTGTTCGTCTTCTAGGTGGAGCGGCTGGTACACCCGGATTCACTCGGGACCCGACTCAGCTGAAGGGGGAGCTCTATCACACGGCTCTCAGGAAGAGCCAGCAGGGCTTCGGCTTCACCATCATTGGAGGAGACCGATCGGATGAGTTCCTGCAGGTGAAGAACGTCCTGTCTGATGGCCCGGCCGCGCAGGACAACAAGATGGCTTCTGGTGAGCGATGACTGGATTGTAAAAAGAGTTTACGGGAACATCCACAGTTCACAAGATAACCTAGGGGCAGCTTAGTTATCGTTGTTGCAGACACATTGGAATAGAATAAAAGTCTGAGTTTTCTCTGCTGTGTCCTTGTTACACCTTACATACATTTACTGTTGTGATAATCGTAATTATTTCAGAACTGCATGATATTTATACCCAAACCCCAATCTCAAACCTAATGGACTAGTATGCACATGTTGTACAAAATTATATTGAAGTGAATATATTATAAATATACAGTTGAAGTCAGAATTATTAGCCCCCCTGAATTATTTTTTCCTCAATTTCTGTTTGAGGAGAGAAGATTTTTTTAACAAATTTCTAAATATAATAGTTTTAATAACTCATCTCTTATAACTGATTTATTTTATCTTTGCCATGATGACAGTAAATAATATTTGACTTGATATTTTTCAAGACACTTCTATACAGTTTAAAGCAGGGGTGCCCAACCCTGTTCCTTGAGAGCCACCTTCCTGCAGATTTCAGTTGCAACCCATATCAAACACACCTGCCTGTAATTATCACATGGTGTTAGGGTCCTAATTAATAGGTTCAGATGTGTTTGATATGGGTAGCACCTGAAATCTGCAGGAAGGTGGCTCTCCAGGAACAGGGTTTGCCACCCCTGGCTTAAAGTGACGTTTAAAGGCTTAATTAAGTTAACTAGGCAGGTTAGGGTAACTAGACAAGTTATTTTATCAATATGGTTTGTTCTGTAGACTAAAAATATGCATAGCTTAAAGGGGTTAATAATTTTGTCCTTAAAATGGTGTTTAAAGATTAAAAACTGCTTTTATTCTAGCTGAAATAAAGCAAATAAAACTTTCTCCAGAAGAAAAAAAAACATTATCAGACATACTGTGAAAATTTCCTTGCTGTGTTACACATCATTTGGGAAATATTTAAAAAAAAGAAAACAAAGATTCAACAGGTGTCTAATAATTCTGACTTTAACTGTAGTTTTGATTTTAAGCACAACATATTGTTGTATTTGAAGCAAATGGAATCATGCAAGTTTATTTTTCATACTAGTGTAAATTTTGTATTATTTAAGTATTATCATTATTCTTATTAACATTCTGAATGAGTTTTTATTATATTATATTTTCATTTTTATTTTTTTATTTTTTTTTGTCATTTTATACTTTTTTTTTTTTAATGTTTATGTTTTGCTTATTTTTCTGTAGTGGCTATCCTAAATAGGGTGATGCAGGGGCTCATTGGTTAGCACTGTCACTTCACAGCAAGGAGGTTGCTGGTTTGAGTTCCGGCTGGACTAGTTGGCATTTCTGTGTGCAGTTTGCATGTTCTCCCCGTGTTGGCGTGGGTTTCCTCTGGGAGCTCCGGTTTCCTCCACAGTCCAAAGACATGTGGTATAGGTGAATTGGGTAAAGTGAATTGACTGTAGTGTGTGAATGAATGTGTATGGATGTATCCTAGTGATGGGTTGCAGCTGGAAGTGCATCCGCTGTGTAAAGCATATGCTGGATTACTTGGCAGTTTATTCCGCCGTGGCAACCCCAGATTGATAAAGGGACTAAGCCGAAAAGAAAATGGAATGAAATTGACCATAGTGTATGTGTGTGAATGAGTGTGAATGGATGTTTCGCTATACTGCATTACGGCTGGAAGGGCATCCAGTGCATAAAACATATGCTGGGTAAGTTGGCGGTTCATTCTGCTGTGGCGCCTTCTGATTTAAAGTGACCAAGTCGAAGGAAATTATGATGATGATGGTTAAGCTTAATAACATTTAGTCTCCCATTTAACTCTTATGGTAATGCTTACGTTTTATTTAAATTAAATTAGATTTTAATAGTCTTACAGCTCTTTGCTCGTATAGTCTTATAGCTAATAGTCTTAATTGTCATTTAAGGAAAAAAAATAGAACAATAGAACTAAAAATAGAAACACCTGAAACTAATAAGCCATGACAATCAAAAAAGACTTAAATTGGATCATTTCATGAACTTAAACAATTCAAAAAACACTTATAATGTGCGCACAAACTGTAAGTCATATTGTTTTTACTAACTTTTTGCTGCATATCTATACCATACTCTGCATGAAAATGCTTCAAATATTCAAAGAGAAATAGTAAAAGTTCAAGACAACATAAGCAATGGCAGGATTTAACATTTTGTGAAACGCTGATGAATCACAAATTGCTTTTGTCAGATGTTTATCCACTTTGTAATGACTCATTCATTCATTTTCCTTCAGCTTAATCCCTAAGTTATCATGAGTTGCCACAGCAGAATGGAAAATTATAAAAATTTATGGAGCAGATGCCGCAACCCAGAACTGGGAAACACCCATACACACTGATTCACACGCATCCACTCATACACTATGGCCAATTTGGTTCTTACTTGTCTTTGGACTGTGGGGGAAACCGTATCACCCGGAGGGAGAACATGCAAACTCCTCTCAGAAATGATAACTGGACCAGCTCGCACTTGAACCAGTTTTTGCTGTGACGCGACAGTGCTAACCACTGAGTCACAGTGCTGCCCCCTTTGTAATGATGCCATTCTTTAGTTCCTTTACTCATTCTCACAGCCAGATGTTCTCTTTTCTCATTTCAGGTGATGTTATTGTGGAAATCAACGGCACTCTTGTTTTAGGAAAGACTCATGCAGATGTAGTCCACATGTTCCAGTGCATCCCAATTAACCAATACGTGGACATGGTGCTCTGCCGTGGGTACTCGCTCCCTCCTGATGTGGATGCAGACAGCGAGGACCTTCCACCTCCACCTCCACCTCCCACAGGAGAGATCGTCACAGCCGTGCCCCTCATCAACGGCCAGCCACTGCTTGTCAAAGGGGACGCCCTCCACGGCTCTTCCCAGGAGCTCCACTACGTCACCACAGATGCCAGCGGGCGCCCGGTGGTTGCTGCTCTTCCTGCGAGCAGCGCTGCCAACGACAGACCAGAAACAGGGATGCTGCAGCCGGAGCTGGTGAGCGTGCCAATCGTGAAGGGACCTGGAGGATTCGGCTTCGCTATTGCAGACTGTCCGCTGGGGCAGAAGGTGAAAATGATCCTGGACGAGCAGTGGTGCCGAGGCCTGCTGAAAGGAGATGTGATAAAAGAGATTAACAGGCAGAACGTGCAGACGCTGAGCCATGCGCAGGTAGTGGATATACTGAAGGATCTCCCGGTGGGCAGCGAGGTCAATCTGCTGGTGTTAAGAGGAGGTAAGAGAACAGGAGGATATACAGATAATCCTGCTGATGCTTTAGGGTATAAATACGCTCTACCTGAGCAGAAGTCATCAGAAGTTTACATTATTTCATGCTAAGGTGGCTCTTGCAGGAGTTCTAAGAGTGCAATTGACATTTATTAGCATTAGATGTGCATTTCAATCAACAGGATAATGGGATATACACTCACTGGCCACTTTATTAGGTACACCTGTTCAACTGCTCTTTACCACACATTTTTAATCAGCCAATCACATGGCAGCAACTTAATGCATTTAGGCATGTAGACTTGGTCAAGACGATCTGCTGCAGTTCACACTGAGCCAATAGTATCTGGATGCAGCCTTTATGATGCAAGCTGAGACTGCATCAGCGATGCAATGTCAGGCACAATGCACTCAAATGGAGCTAGTGACGTCACTGTGACGGGTAGGGTTAGGGGTGGGGTTAGGTGAGCCCATTAAAAAGCATTGGATGCAGCCCAGATTGCACTGCACCAGGTCTGCAGCCAGACCCCTTTCAACTGAGCATAAGAATGAGGAAGAAAGGTGATTTAAGTCATTTTGAACGTAGCATGGTTGTTGGTGCCAGATGAGCTGGTCTGAGTATTTCCCAAACTGCTCATCCACTGTGATTTTCACACACAACCATCTCTAAGGTTTACAGAGAATGGTCTCAAAAAGGTGAAATATCCAGTGAGCGGCAGTTCTGTGGGTGTAAATGCCTTGTTGATGCCAGAGGTCAGAATGGCAGGCCTGTTTCCAGCTGGTAGAATAGTAACAATATCTCAAATAACCACTTGTTACAACTGAGGTGTGCAAAAGAGCATCTCTGAATGCACAACACGTCCAACCTTGAGGTGGATGGGCTACAGTAGTAGAAGACCACACCGGATTCCTGCTAAAAACAGGAAACTGAGGCTACAATTCACACAGGTTCACCAAAATTGGGCAATAGAGGATTGGTAAAACGTTGTCTGAACTGATGAGTCTCAATTTCTGCTGCAACATTCGGATGGTAGGGACAGAAATTGGTGTCAACAACATGAGAGCATGGATTAATCCTGCCTTGTATCAATGGTTCAGGCTGGTGGTTGTGGTGTAACGGTGTGAAGGAAATTTTCTTGGCACACTTTTGGCACTACATTAGTACCAATTGAGAATTTTGTCAACACCACAGCCCACCTGAGTATTATTGGTGACCATGTCCATCCCTTTATGACCACTATGACCACTACTTTATGGCTACTTCCAACAGGATAATTCGCCATGTCATAAAGCGTGAATCATCTCAGACTGGTTTCTTGAACCTGACGATGAGTTCACTGTACTCAAATGGCCTCCACAGTCACCAGAACTCAATCCAATAGAGCACCTTTGGGATGTGGTGGAATGGGAGATTCGCATCAATCTGTGCCACAAAGGATCAGGCAGTTCTAAAGGCAAGAGGGGGTCTAACCTGGTACTAGTAAGTTGTACCTCATAAAGTGGCCAGTAAGTGTATGTAGATATAATCACTTACATAGTCCTGTGGTTTAAACTGTACAGTGTGACACTTCTTGTGGTTTAAACTAAAAACATCAACAGATGCACAACAACGATGTGCTAAAATCAGAAAAGTATTCCGTTGCATTTTTTTGAATGGGTTTCAGTCAAACTACTATGGCTATAGATTAACATGGACTCTTTTTGTTTAATTCAGAATGAAATAATTATAAATAATGAATCCAAACATGGTGTTTACACTACATGATCTCTAAATGAAATGACTTGGTTGATCTCTGTATTTATATTTTTCTAAACATTGCACGGATATAGAGTTTCCCAATATTTAAATATGTCCATATTAGCCATGTTGGTTTATTACATTTGGTTTATTTAACAAGAAGCGGATGTAATATTAATCTCAGGCAATGATGGGCATATAGAGCTATACTGTTTTCATACTTAAAAATTCAAAATCAAGTCAGTGTTTCTTCATGTATCTGAAATTTTAATTTAAGAATGTAACAAAATGGAAATTTATTTATTTATTTATTTATTTATTTATTTATTTATTTATCTATCTGGAATATGTGTAATTTGACTACAAAATGAAGAATGAACAAGTCTTAAGGTCTTTGCACACTGTAGTGTGAAATTTTTATATGCGTTTTTTTCATAATCATATGCGAAAAACTTTTCACATAAACAAACTTTGCACACTTAGTATTAGTTAATCCATTACGAAAAAAAAACGCAAAACATTTCAGAGTTCAAGCAGAGATACTTCAGTCTCCTATCTTCTCCAAAGTAAAAAAAAAGAAAGAGGAATAGGCTACATATTGTGTTCATCCGATATTGCATATTGGATGGAGAGTTCAGCTCATTATCAAAGAGCACCGCTATGATTATCTCAAAATGCTAAGTTTAATTCAGGAAATCAGTGGAGCTTTGATACATGCATTCACTACTTATCTTAAAAATAGATTTATTATCTGTTTTCTGTCTTGTCTCTGTAATTCTGTTGCACTGTAGAAGCTCTGTCACGAAAACAAATTCCTCGTTTGTGTGAACATAACTAGCAATAAAGCTTTCGGATTCTGATTCTGATGTATGGACAAACACACGCACACACACACACACACCAAACAGCAGCAGGGCAGAGGTGCACCAGTCACTGAATCCAGCATATAAGGGTTCTCAACTGTTCACCACATTTCGTCTTTATTTTGTGCACTGTGTTTGTCATAAAGTTATCTGTAGCTCAAATGATTGCATTCTGTTAGGCTTTTTGCTTGCACGGTGGCTCTGAATTGTCAAAACACCTCTCAAATCGCTTTTTTGAATGTGAAAAGCGGAAAAAAAACCCTAACCCGATTCGCTTTTCTTTATGACAGATGAAAGTTTCTTAGCCATGTGTCAGTGTGTCAATAGGATTCACACAACATGAGGTCAAATTTATTTTTTAATGTGCGAAAATTACAGATCAAAATTTCAGATTCAGTGTGTAATATCTTTTACCAACTGTAGTGAGAAAAATAAAGTGAGAAAAGACTCCTTGATTTGGTTATAATTATATTCACATGTCAGTCAAAGTTAAAGTTTATATAGGATTTTCCAGCAGGGATTTTACTAAGAAAGCCTGAGATCTACAGTTGAAGTCAGAATTATTAGACCCCCATTTTTTTCTTTTTCAAATATTTCCCAAATGATGTTTAACAGAGCAAGGGAATTTTAACAGTATTTCAGATAATATTTGTTTCTTCTGGAGAAAGCCTTATTTGTTTTATTTCGGCTAGAATAAAAGCAGTTATTAATTTTTCAAACACCGTTTTAAAGACAAAATGATTAGCCGTTTAAGCTAAATTTTTTTTCAATAGTCTACAGAACAAACCATCGTTATACAATAACTTGCCTATTTCCCCTAACCCACCTAGTTAACCTAATTAACCTAGATAAACCTTTAAATGTCACTTTAAGCTGTTTAGAAGTGTCTTGAAAATATCTAGTCAAATATTATGTTCTGTCATTGTGGCAAATATAAAACAAATCAGTTATTAGAAATGAGTTATTAAAACTATTATGTTTAAAATGTGTTTTAAAATAAACAGGGAGTCTAATAATTCAGGGGGGATAATAATTCTGACTTCAACTGTATCTATGAGCATGCAAAAGAAACTGGATTTAGTTTGAAACTAGCAGGAATAAAGTGTTCAACAATTTAGATTTATTGAAGGAGAACAAGATCATCTGAAATGTTGAAAACAAAAAAAAAGATATTTTAAAGAATGTTGAAAATTATTTTCCATTGATATCCACTGTGTAAAAAAGACACTCTGGAAGTCAATGGTTACTGGTTCCCAACATTTTTTCAAAATATCTTATTTTTTGTTCAACAGAAGACAAATGTAGGTTTAGAACAAATGTAGGGAGAGTAAATGGTGATGTAACTTGATTTTGTAATTCTGTTGGCAAACTAGAAATTTATAAATTTTTGTTACTCCACAAAGGCCCAAAACATATGAAGCTCATTCATATCTATGCATTTTATCCAAAAAAACATTGCATTTATGCAATATATTTTTTCCAGTTTGTGCATGAATTTTGTCATTTATACAACAATAGGTTTTTTAAAAGTCATGTAAAAACATTGTTCCACATCTAAAAGTATAAAAAAAATGTTTTGATATTTGTATATGAGTAAGAATATTACTTTATTGCAGTGTACTCTGGACATTTTACACAATAAAATATGCCTTAAAACTATATAGCCTAATAAGTGCACCAGCAAACATACACTCATACCATAAGTTGGTGAGCAGCTTCAGTGTCCTGTTTTTTTTTCAGCTGGGATTTGCAGATACTCTTTCTCTCACTCTTTTTTGATTATCTTTATTCTTCATCAAGTCTCATTCCATACCCCACTTCATAATTTTAGTTACTTTTGTTCTCCTCTCCTGCACTCTGCCGATCACACTCATGGTCTGTCCCTCAGGAGAAGCTTATGTAAGAATGATGGACCGTTGCTTCTGACACAGTTGGCAGAAAAGGCCCTTTGTGCATTTTTTTTGCACCTACTCTGTGGGGCTGGCTGGGAATTTGGGAAATGAGTCTAAATCATAGGGGAATTTTAGGATGTGACTGAGAAGAGTTCTGTGAGGATTTATTGTCTGCCCCGGTAGAGAGGGAGGAAGAAATGTGAAAGCCAAGGAAATCAGCAATATGCTTTAATCAGTGTTATTAATCCTCAAACACTAAGCGAGTTTCGTCATTCATTATTTATTATTGTTTTGTCAGATGAAATTGTAACGACGTTTTTGTTTTTTGCATGACTTCTGCCATTTGTAATGTCTTTCTCCTAGGAGAATACAGTTGAAGTCAGAAATATGAGCCTTCCTGTTATATTTTAATTCTTTTATATTTTCCCTTATTTTCTGTTTAACTGAGAGAAGATTTTTTCAACACATTTCTAGACATAATAGTTTTAACTCAATTAACTCACTAGTTATAACTCCTTTCTAATAAATGAATTTTTTCATCTTTGCCATGTACCAGTAAACAATATTTTGTTAGATATTTTTCAAGATACTGTATTCAACTTAGTGCAATTTAAAGTTTTAACTATGTTAATTAGGCAAGCCATTGTCTAACACTAGTTTGTTCTGTAGACAATCAAAATAAATGTTTAAGAGGGCCAATACTGACCTTCAAATGGCATAAAAAAATACAACTGCTTTTATTCTAGCCAAAATAAAACAAATAAAACTTTCTCCTAAAGAAAAAATATTATCGCAAATACATCGAAAAATTCCTTCCTCTGTTAAAGGGCCATAACCCTCCCCCCTGTCTCAGCAGGGTGTTTTCACATCTCTTTCAAAAAGTCAGGAAAGTGGGTGGGTCCAGCTTTGTTTAGGTGGGAGTGTCGGGAGAGGGAAAGAGGAAAGGGTTTGCATGAAAAGCGGAGATTCAGTGTGTTTCAGTGTGGGGAGTTTTCACAGCGACAACACAAACACAGATGCAGGGGAGATAGACGGTGACTATGTTTAAATGGACATCAGTAATCAAATTATTTGCCTTAATCTGAATATGACAGTAATATGATTAAGGTGTTGACATGAGTTGCTTTTTGAATGTTCTATTCATGATCCCATTTTACATGTTATTGCACATAATTCGACACCGCTCTGTTCACATTTCTTCTGGAGTTTCATGTAATTTTGGGTGTTTCCAGCCTGATCTCATGAGAAAATGTAAGTATTTTACGTTTTGCCAGTTCAGTGGCTAATTCGTACGAATTCGTACGAGTTCAGTCTTACGAAATTGTACAATTTTAAAAAGGAGGTGTGGCACCTAACCCCACCCCTAACCCCAACCGTCATTTGGTGATGAGCAAATCGTACTAAATTATACGAATTAGATCGTACTAATTCATATGAATTAGTCACTAAATCAAAAAGTTATGAATTGCCGTGAGATTGTGTTATTGATTTATTCTTAATTTGTCGACTTTAATTGCAGTTTGGCACTTTCACTTTCATTCAGGAACATTTCATGTATGCCCCCAGTGACAAATGAGATATTAGATGCAAGGAACTGCTGGGAGAGTGTTATTTTAATGAAATGTTTTATACCGCACACCTTATTAGAGAAAAAAAAACCCTGCAAAAATAACCTTTCCTGTCACAAAATACAGTAAAAATCCTACCTGACTGTAATATTTTGATTAAGGTGTTTACCTGTTTACTTTTAGAGAGCAGCATTTACCGTGGATCTTTCAGTCCATAATACTGTAGTGATATTAACGTACTTTAAACTTAGTAACTAAATCATTTTGACTAAGGTATGTCTTTACAAACTAAAAGAGTACTGCTGATGATACAAACTAACTTTGCCAGCTGAATAAACATAAACAAAGGACATTGATCACACACTTACCAAATCTGTAGAGACAGAACAATCAACATGAACTGGAACTGCATCTTTTTTAAAAGGAGACGAGCAGCAAATCCGTATTTTACTAGTTCCAGATGCGAAAAGCTCTCGGGTAAAAAAAAAAGCCTTACAAACGTATTTCTGTTACGTGTTAGCAGAGCACTGTAATCCACACACGAGTCCAGCTGCTCTCTCATAGCGGAGAAGTGAAAACAAAACCTTCGTTGCAGCACATTTATAAGCGACCCATTTCTCCAAATAATTCTTCTTCCTCCACTTGTTTTAACGGTTGGCAACACAACGTGGCATCTCTCTGAACACTGTAACAGGTAGAAGAAGTCTTTCAAGCTATCATGCATATTAATGAAGTTGCACCGCATACACAATAGAGTGCGCTGATTGGTTCGAACCAAGACTTCTAATGAATTAATGCTGAAAACTCAAAGACGTCACGTTGTACTTGCTGGTACAGACATCCAGTCTCCATGCTGGAATTTAGCTTCTAAACAGGAAGAATGAATTTGCTCGAAATAACACAAAAACAACCAATATTCAATTTTTTGTGAAATATATGGGTCCTAATAGAGTTTTTAGCAACAAGGGACACATATATGACTGTCAACATCTCAATAAAATCTTTGCTGGTGTTTTGTGACCCTTTAAACGTCATTTGGAAAATATTTAAAAAAAGAAAGTCACATAAGGGCAATTAATTTGACTTTAACTCTACATGCATAATATCCATCATCATTTTCTCTTATGAACATTTATTCTATCCATTTTTACTGGCTCCAAAATGACGCACATGTCATGATTAACTCCGCTCTGAACTGGCTCAGGAAACGCCCCACTTTGAAGCACTTGAATGACGCTTCCTCTTTGAGTAGCTTTTCAAGTTTAGATGGATGGCAATTAATAATGTAGCACTGAAACATTGTATTCTCATGCCTTTTTCATGATTGAGAGGCAACAACCATGAAATTCTGTCATTAAAATAAGACTAGAAACTTTCTCTCACTGACGACTTCCTGTTTTCATTCATTTGTATGTTGATGAGTGCCTGTTCCCTCATTTTCCCCCTCTTCAGAGCTACTTAAATCACTCATTTGCTCCTTTTTTTTCTGTTTCTAGGTCAGACATCGCCTGTGAAGAGTTTAAGACCGGTGAGTATTATAATAGATTTCAGGGGTGATAATGACCTTGTTGAACTGAAGAGGTGGCTGAATATTTCATTTTTGTGCTGATGAAACTTCTTCTTAATTATTGCTCATACTTGCGGCTTGGGAGGCGAACAAACCCCTTTCTCAAAGTACGAACACGTCCCACACCATTTGTACCACAGACATGAATAAATCATGCTGCTTGTACTTTTTGAAAAAATCGGATGGGTTATTTTGACTTGAGGGTTATAAAACAGGAAAAAAGACTTTTACTAAAGATCAAACTATCATGGAGGCATGCAAGTAAATCTAACCTGTCAACAAACTGTTAACCACCCAAACAACCATAGAGAGCAAGCACCTAGAACGCATATAGCAAAGCCTTGATATAAGCCTAGCAATCTTTTATTGATAGTAACTCTCTAGAAACCAACCAGAACACTGTAAAAATATAGTTAACCATGGTAGAACCACTGGAAACCAATAAGAAACCATTGAGCAACACTTCAACCACTACATCAACACCGCCTAAAACACTCAATAATCACACTTGTAACCATTCAGAAAACCCTATAGACAACATATAAAATAAACAGCTGATTAATGGTTTAAAAACCAACCATTTTACCATGAAACCACTTAAAACACCATGAGAATAGGGTGACCATACAGGTATGTGCTATTTTTTTTTTACATGACATGTCCTGGCCAGGATTTCTATATTGCCTTAAATATCCAGTTTTTGACTGTTTGCACTTTGAAGACTGACCGCATCTGTAGGTGGTATAGAAAACAAATAGCTTCTTATACTTTCACCCTCGTGGTGCTTTGATGTCAAACACTTTGATGTCATACAATGATTGCTCTGTGCAGCTCTACATGAATGAACAAATGCATCTAATATGTACTCGCATTTGCATCGCTGTGAAAAAAAGAGATTAGTTGATTGTACTTAAAAAGAGAGCAACGTGTTTTCTTATAATTGTTAAGTAAACAAACTATGTGCATAATTATAAAAGTTAAGTTAATGGACTTTTTTAAAGTAAAATCAACTTGTTGCTTTAAAGGCAATGAGGCTCAATTTTGGAAAGTACAGTAAATAATTGATTTTTACAGTGTACGAACATATGAAACACAGCAAAATAGAAAAGTCCTGGCCAGGATGTGTCCCATGAAAATAGCACATATGGTCACCCAAGGTAAATGTCTTATTTGATGTATTTTAGTCGGGCTTTAGATCAGGTCACAGTGTGGAAACAGCTCTATTTAAGGTCACTAATGACCTTCATATGATTGCTGATTTGAGGGCTTGTGGTATTCTGGTGCTCTTGGATCTAACTGCAGCATTTGACACTCTTTCTCACAGCTTCCTATTGGACAGACTTCAAAACTGGGTTGGCTTAGCCGAGACACCACTAAGTTAATTCATATCCTACCTCACTGAATGTTCACAGTTCAGTTTTTGGGGGGGTCACAGGTCATTGTCCTTCTGTGTCAAGGTGTCCCCGAGGGGTTCGGTGCTCGGGCCACTTCAGTTTAGCATCTATATGCTACCTCTCAGACAAATTCTACAAAATTTTTTGTATTAATTATCATTGCTATGGGTGACGTGGTGGCACAGTAGGTAGTGCTGTCGCCTCACAGCAAGAAGGTCTCTGGTTCGAGCAGTTGGCATTTCTGTGTGGAGTTTGCATGTTCTCCCCGTGTTTGTGTGGGTTTTTCCTCCGGGTGTTCTGGTGTCCCCCACAAGTTCAAAAACATGCAGTACAGGTAAATTGGGTATGCTAATATTGCCCGTAGTGTATGTATGGGTGTGTGTGTGAATGAGAGTGTATGGATTTTTTCAAGTGATGGGTTGCAGCTGGAAGGGCATCCGCTGCATAAATTTTTTTTTTTAATTTTGCTGTGGCGACCCCAGATTAATAAAGGGACCACGCAGCACTTTTACCTAGTTGGGGACTCTTTTTCAGATGCTGTGTATCATTTAATGGCAGCAAAGTTTCTTAATTATTATGCCAGACAACAAAAAAAGTGCTGGCAAAATGACAAAACATCAACTAAATAGACATGTTGAACTTTAGCTTCCTGAAAGAGTCCATTAACGCTTCTTTTCAGTGCCACTCTTGACATGGAAACAGTTTTTGCATATGAATAGCTGTGTTATTTCTTTTCCTGTTAACCAGACCATGAAGTCATGATCCAACATTAATGGTGTGCCTGTTTGCATAGGCCTATTCAATGTATCTGAATACACTTGCTTGATTATCTTCTGAAGAAACACCTGAAAACACAAGTTCTGCTCTTGTTTTCCAACAGAGAGGAGGGATGAGTGCCAGCACTGAGACTCTGGACCGCTGCCATGATATGATGGTTCCCCAGGCTTTGACCTATCATTCAAACACACTGCCGTGTAGCTCTCCCAAACAAGACGCTTCCCTTCACTATAGTAAACCCAAAGCCCTGACGGAGAGCATAGGTGAGTCTGTGCTGAGCTCAGCCCTCAGAGAGAAAAGTCTTTTATGGTACAGCACAATGATATGGATCTGTTGTAGTCTGATGCTGTATAACATGTCAGATTAAAAAAAAATACATGTACAGTTATTTCAATATAAAAACAAAATTCAAGTTTTATATTAAATTCCATTTTAATTATCTTCAGAGAGGGGGAGAGAGTACATTTTAAAATTAAAAGTAAAAAAAAAATATATATATATATATATATATATATATATATGTATATATATATATATATATATATATATATATATATATATATATATATATATATATATATATATATATATATATATATATATATATATATTGGTAATGTGGTATATGAAACCACTAATCCTAATCCTTGAACAGTAACTGTTTTTAATTGCTTATAACAACGGGAATACAATATTGTTTGTTTTGTGCTATTGCAATATAATGGCTTGAAAAGCCCGTTGTTAACAAAATAATTTTTATAAATAAATAATAATAATAATAATAATAATAATAATAATAATAATAATAATAATAATAATAATAAATAATTATTATTAATAATAATAATAATAATAATAACAATTATTATTATTATTATTATTATTAATAATAATAATAATAATAATAATAATAATAATAATATTGATAATAATAATAATAATAATAATAATAATAATAATAAATATTGATAATAAATGAAAAAATTGAATTAAAATGACAATTTTGCCATATATATTCTTAAGATCTTAATTTTTATTTATTTTTATTTTTTATTTTTTAATTAAGCATAAAGAGAAAGAAATAGGATAATTCATATTTATAGTCATAATTATAGTCATAATGTAGTAAAAAAAAAAAACAAAGAGTTGACAAAAAGGGAAAACACTGAGGCAGGACAGTGGTACAATGCTGGTGAAGTTCTAGGTAAATTAAAACTGATTCAATTCAGTTTGATGCACACTGTATGCCACAGTTGAAGTTCAGTTTAGTTTAATTCTGTTCAGTTTAGTAGAAATGTCCTTGATAAAGTCTGATGCACTGATGAGCAGCTTCACCAGCTAAATCGGAGATATGTAGGCAAATGTCTTGCTTTTGCAAATAATGCACCGGGTTTAATTATGTGATAATTTATGAGAATTAAGATTAATAAGGTGTATTAAGATTAATAGCTTGCCTGGAATGTTTTATGCTGTTTTTGGAGCTTTAGAATCTGAATCAACAGTCGCTAATAAGGCATTGAAAAGAGCATCTGCTTAGCTTTTGAGTATAATGTGGGGTGGAGAACATAAGGTTTTTAAATGATATATTTGAAAAAACAACTAATTTATGATCTGAATGCAGAGGCACAATGAAGGTATTTGCATGACTCAGGAATGACAAACTAAAGAATGTGGTTAATCCTATTCAGGTATTTAATTCTGCTTTTTATTATCCAGTACCTCAATATAAAGAGCTGGATGTGTTCATCAAAAGAGATCAGGAGACGGGCTTTGGTTTTCGTGTGCTTGGAGGAGAAGGTGCAGAACAACCAGTGAGTCTCTTATACTTCCATACAGTAACCTCTTTTCTGATTATTCCCATTCATAAAGTCTATTTATATGATTTATTCACCTTTTTCCACATAATAAACACTGCTTTTCAAATAACAGGTTGAGAAACTTCCATTAAAAACTAAAACAAACAATTTAAAATAAAGATATATATATATATATATATATATATATATATATATGATCATTATACATTTAAAGTCAGAATTATTAGCCCCCCTTTAATTTTTATTTTTTTTTTTCCCCCAAATGATGTTTAACAGAGCAAGGAAATTTTCACAGTGTGTCTGATAATATTTATTTTTTTCTGGGGAAAGTCTTACTTGTTTTATTTTGGCTAGAATAAAAGCAGTTTTTAATTTTTTAAAAACCATTTTAAGGTCAATATTATTAGCCCCTTTTAAGCTATATCTTTTTTCGATTGTCTACTGAACAAACCATTCTTATACAATAACTTGTCTTATTACCCTACCCTGCCTATAACCTAATTAACCTAGTTAAGCCTTTAAATGTCACTTTAAGCTGTATAGAAGTGTCTTGAAAAATATCTAGTCAAATATTATTTACTGTCAAGATAAAAGAAATCAGTTATAAGAAATGAGTTTTTAAAACTATTATGTTTAGAAATGTGTTAAAAAAATCTGCTCTCCATTTAAAATATATTGGGGAAAAAATAAACAGGGGGGCTAATAAATCCGGAGGGCTAATAATTCTGACTATAACTGTGTATGTACATATATGTGATATGTGCAAAAGAAACCCCATCACAATTTTCTTAAACAATATTGCGATTTTGATTTTAATCATGATTTAAACACACACACAAACATTTTACTGTGTGAATTTGAAACATACAGTATTTCCAAAGACCTGTAACATGTCTCTAAAACAGACATAAGGCAAAAAATAAAGATCATGTAGTAAAATAAAAATAAAGATCATATCAGAAGTAGTTGCTTGTATTTTTGTCTGTGTCCACGGATTTATTATTTATTTTTTTGCCAGGCATAGATTGTAGACCTCCTTGAGACGCTGCTTTGAAATAGGCCGTTCACATGTCACGTCTTTTGTGCGTGCAAGTTTTTTTATTTTCAATGGAGGCACCCAGCTTGCGCGCATATTGGGAGTGATGCATGCGCAAATTCCATGCACACCCAGTTAACAAATAAAACTTGTATCAGAACTTCAGCAATGTTTTGTTAGTCTGTCATGCTCTGAGAAAATGGTTTATAGTCACGGAGCAATGACAAAGCAGCGCGAGCGCAAAGCGTGTTGAATGCTGAAGAAAGCGAAGCTCCTCGTGCTTTCCACACGCTTTTAAATACGATATGTGACTGAAAGGTTTTGCAAATGACCTGATTCTGCGATACATCCTGTAATCAAAGTAGTCCCACACCACAGATGTTGACTGTTTTTTGGCACCAAGACCTCCTGTGCTGAACTCATCATCAGTTTATGCAGCCTATTTGTTATTAAGCTCCGTCTGTTCTCGAGTTCTGTTCAGGCGTGCTGTGCTATGATTGGTTTAAATAGCATACTGTGGGAAAATCGTGCTGTAAGGCGGTTTAGAAACCGTGCATGTTTAAATCGCGATTTTAATATGATTTTAAATATTCACTCAGCCCTAATATTTATGTAAAAATGTGTTTGATCATTGCAGATGATTGCCTCCTATGCCAATGACACAAGTTTGATTTATTGACTATTGATTTATTAAAGTAAGCATGCATGAAATGTGACAGGAACACGCCTTACTGTGAATTTAAACACATCCAGATGGAGAAAATGTTTTGCAGTAAGAAGGGAGAAATTATACAGCAAACTTGGATACTTTCTTGATCCAAAGAATTCTATGAATGTGTTTCATCTCATGCAGCAGGAGCAGAAATGCTACAGTCAAAATGCTGCAATTTAAGAGGATAATATACTGTATGATATAAGACCAAACAGTGAATTATTTATTCAATCATTTTCTTTTCGGCTTAGTCCCTTTATTAATCAGAGGTTGCCACAGCGGAATTAACTGCCAACTTATCCAGCATATGTTTTACACAGCGGATGCCCTTCCAGCTGCAACCCATCACTGGGAAAAACAGTGAATTAATTCAATTCAGAGTTGATTTAAAGCAGATTTCCAGTTCTCTGCTTGATTTGCGCAGGCCTACATAACTAAAGTGATGTTGAAAGTAGAGTTATTCTGTTTTTGCTCAAGATTAACACGGAGATAAGTTAATCTGCAATTATCTGCCATTTTGCCATTACCAGTGTAGTGAAGAAAAGAGCCTGTGGTTTGGCTGAGCTGAAAAAAACTTGCATGCATTCAAGATTTGGCTCTTAAAAGCTATCTTTTGATAGTTGCATTAACACGTGCTATTTCTAGCTAAAACTTAATCATGAAGATTAAAGTTTGTGATGTTAATACTAACAAATTGTACAAATCAAGTTATTCGATATTTCAATTAAATTGTAATTAACTGTGAGGAGCAGGGCGGCACAAAAAGCTGTGAGAACCATGAATGTTAAAATTATGTGAGAGACTGTGAATGGGTCACACAAAAATGAAAATTATGTTATTATTGACTTGTCCTGATGTAGTTCCAATCCTCAGAGACCTCATTCATCTTCAGAACACAAGTGCAGATGTTTTAGATGAAATCTGAGAGCTCTCCATAAACAGGAACAGTCCCCAGACATTCAAAATCAGACACTAAAAAATTGTCAAAACATTGCATGAGACTTCAGTGGTTCAACTGTAATCATACGAAGCACTAAGAACAAATTTGTGCACCAAAAACTGTAAAAACGAATGTTCACCAATGTCTTCCCTGCTGAAAAATCCAGCTTAAACCAGCCTAGGCTGGTTGGCTGGTTTTAGCTGGTCGACCAGGCTGGTTTTAGAGGGGTTTTGGCCACTTCTAGGCTGGTTTCCAGCCATTTCCAGCCTGGTCTTAGCTGGTCAGGCTGGGAGATGACCAGCTAAAACCAGCTTGACCAGCCTAGCCAAGCTGGGAGTCCAGCCAAAACCAGCTATATCCAGCTTAAACTGGGCTGGTCAAGCTGGTTTTAGCTGGATTTGGCTGGTCATTTTCCAGCCTGACCAGCTAAGAACAGGCTGGAAATGGCTTGAAACCAGCCTGAAAATGGCCAAAACCCCTCTAAAACCAGGCTGGTCAACCAGCTAAAACCAGCCAACCAGCCTAGGCTGGTTTAAGCTGGATTTTTCAGCAGGGTTTGGACAATTCTAAGGGCCCATACATTTAGGGGGGCCCCAGAGACATTAGCAAGGGCCCGCGCCAATACCATCTTTCAGCTTGTCAGAGGGCCCGTGGTGGGTAGCTGCGCCCCTGTCGACAGGCAACATGATGCTTGTGTGTTGAACTGCTAATGCTAATGGCAATACTTTGAATTGTCTATATAGTAAACACATCCTAACCTGATATGTAAGACAAGATATAGGCTATTTACATGGGACTTTTTGGGTACACAAAAATGTTCTAGGAGCTTTGTATGATTACTGTGGGTCTACTGAAGTCACATGAAATGTTTGTACAATGTTTGGGTTTTGTTTCTGGACATCGAACACCTCTTTGCTTTCAATAGAAAACCCAGAGAGCTCTCAGATTTCTTAATTTGACCATATCTTAATTTGAAATATTTTAATTTGTGTTTTGAAGATGAATGAAGGTCTCAGAGGTTTATAAAAACATTAGGATCAATAATTAATAACAGAAATTTATTTTTTGGGGGTGAACTTATACTTTAACGTACTGCACCCCTTGTCACAAACATGTTGTTGTAGTACGAAATAAAATTATATTTTACTAACTTAAATACATCAGTTTGTTTCTACAAATGTTTTGTTTAATCAAAATTTATAAGGTTTTCAAAGTGACTATGTTTACCTGAACATCAGTAATCTAATCATTTACCTTTAATCTGACTAAGACAATAATATGATTTTGAAGGTGTTTACATGAGTTGTTCATTTCATGTTCCCGTTTCACATGTTACAGTATATACTGTAGATCTATTAAGGTAATTATTTCACCATTAAATGCTAGTTTCCTTCAGCATTTCATGCAATAACAGTTTGTGTTCGTCATCGCACCATCCCAGCAGGCACATGATGTCAGATTGATGTTGTACCTTAACGTCATGGGACATTGCATTTTGTCTGGGAATGAAAATTGAGTTGACATCGACCCAACATCAGGCAGACATCAGTGTCCAACATCAAACAGACATTCCTTTTTGATTTCTTTCCAACGCAACCTACAAACGATAAAATATCAATGTCTAATGATGTTACAGCTTGATGTTGTGTAAACGTTACCACTATGATGTCTGTCAGATGTCGGATTTTGGTTGCCATGCCTGATGAACAAATATCAGTATATGATGTCAATAAGACGTTGGTTTAAGATGTTGGCTCAATGTTGGATTTTGGTTACTTTCCAAAACAACCTAAAATCAACCAATATTAATGTCATTTCACATCCTTATTGGACGTCTAAATAACATTGCCCTTAGACGCTGATGATCTAAATTTAATCCAATATTAAGCTCTTATGACATTGTGTCTGCTGGGATGTGTGATTTTTCGGTGTTACATTTTTTAATTCAAATAGTTCAACTGCAGTTAATTGCTTACAATATGTTTGCAAACAGACAAAGGCGGATGCAAATTCTTAAGAAACAGACCACCTCTGCAGTCAGATACTATTGTGTTTCATTTAATAACTTTTCATTCATGCCCCCTCAACAAACTCAGTGATACTCGATAGAACAGGGGTCAGCAACCCGCGGCTCTAGAGCCGCATGCAGCTCTTTAGCGCTGCTTTTGTGGCTCCATGGAGTTTTTTCAAAAATGTTTGAAAATGGAAAAAGATGGGGGAGGTTAATATATTTTTTCAGTTTTAATATGATTTCTATAGGAGGACAAACATTTTTAACGTTTTCAAATGCTGTAAATGTGTGTAGAATTAATAATTAATTTCAACATTTCTGTCAACGAAGATTTGCGTCATAGCCTGCGACACCTGTTTCTATCAGCAGGGCGGGATGCCAGGCAGGTGGCTGTTGTAAAAAAACCGGAAGATAATAAAGCATGGAGTTCACAGATGGTGACTACATGAAGGAGTCATTCATCAACCTATTAGAACACCTATTTGCAGAATTCAAAAACAAAATCAAGCTAATACAAAAAATTAAAGATATACCTCTCTCCGCTAAGACAGGGAAGGAAAGGGCTATTAAAATTGCAGGTAACAACACCGATCAGCAAACCAAGGACATTAATTCAGTGCCAGCATACTCAATTGCCTGTGATGTGACCGATATTCAACACGCTTTTATGCAGGTATGTGAACTCTGATGGGCCGCAAGAAGAAATGATCTAATTAATACCCCTGAAAGACCAGAGGCTGTGCTGAAGTGTTTAAATGACAACGAAATAAACACCAACCACCTCATTTCAGTGGCTATTTAATCATGAAGGCTCATTATGTATTTATAGCCAACTTAGTCATTTTTATAGTAGGCTAATATAGCTAATATAGATACATACAGCATGTGTTTCCTTCATGATAAGGCTTATATAAGGCTTTACATTTTTTGCGGCTCCAGACATATATATTTTTTTTTTTGGTCCAATATGGCTCTTTCAACATGTTGGGTTGCCGACCCCTGGGATAGAAGGAAACACATTCTCTTAGACTACTCCTCGCAAGAGAGACTGTCCTCACAGAGACCCACAGAAAAATGAGAGCGAGATGGAGCGAGAGAGAGAGAGAGAGAACTACTGCAGTTTGGGCTTGGGTTTTTAACACAACACCGACCAGCAATTGGTGGTGCGAACCCAGCGTCTGCAGCCAGCGTCATCAGCACGAAATGCGGATTCTTCAATGCCGTTCGTACCTGTAACACACGCGTAAAACGACACACCCACATACAAACAAATGCACAAACATATACCCAAAGCACGTTCTGCAAGCGAATGTAACAACATGTCAGTACTGCACTTCAGTAGTGTGATTAAAATCGGCATACTTCACATGTCTTAATCCGATTTCTGTTTAGTTTGATTATGACTTTAGTCAGATTAAGGTAACAAAAAATTCTGCATACATGGTAGATTCTTAATCAGAGTATTGTCTTAATCATATTAAAATTCAGATTATTGGTGTCCATGTAAACGTTCTCAGTGTAGAGAAACCATAAAAACATTGACTTTTATTTTTCTCCTTAAAACAAGCTCCCTGTCTCATTTCTCTAGGTGTACATTGGTGCCATCATCCCCCAAGGGGCGGCTGAAAAGGAAGGCCGCCTGCGGGCTGGAGATGAGCTCATTGGCATCGATGGCATCACCGTTAAGGGTAAATCTCACAAACAAGTCCTGGACCTGATGACAAACGCAGCACGCAACGGACAAGTGCTGCTTTCAGTGCGCAGGAAGGTCATTTTCCGAGGTGAGAACTGCTGACTGACAGGTCTGAGACATAATTAACCAGCTGAAAAGCGTTGATTAAAGGTCAGCGTGTGTAATTTGTGCTCTGTAGATGCCCTGGAGGATGTTGGGAGTGGAGCGTTGACCCTTGTGAATGGATCACCTCGGCTTCCGCGGATTCAGGTGCCAAGCGTCAAGGACCAGGAGTCGTTTGATATCACGCTTCATCGCAGAGATAACGAGGGCTTCGGCTTTGTCATTCTCACCTCTAAGAGTAAACCGCCACCGGGAGGTAACAGCACATTCATTGATGCACAAGAAGTCGCAGACTCATTTTTCAAATAGATACTGTTTAGGGGGAAAAAGCAGTGGAAGTCAAGAACTGTGTTGTGAAGAAATGCATGGTGATGTTTTAATTTTGGCTTGATATTTACACTAATTTTAAGTATACATCCTTACATCAATTGTTAAGATGCACATATTTAATATAAGCGTTTTATTATAGTTAAAATTGCATTTAATTATTATTTTAATTTATAGGATTTTATTATTATGACAGTTTTATTTATATAAATTGCTAATTTTTATATTTATTTTATTTTAATTATTACATTTATATTTAATTTAAATGTGTCTATATATTAATTTAGAAGTGTTAGAAGTGGTTTAATGTTATGGCTTAGTGTTTACACTAATTTGAAGTATACATCAAGTCAGTTGTAAAAATGCACATATTTAATATAAGCATTTTATTATATCATTTAAAATTGCATTGAATTATTTTTATTTACATGATTTTATTATTATTTTAAGTAAATTCAATTTAAGGTTTTTTTTATATTTATATAAATTTCTTTTTTTTATCTATTTATTTTATTGTAATTATTACATTTATATTTAATTAAAAATGTTTGTGTATTTATAAGTGTTAGTAGTGGTTTCATGTAATGTAATGATGTTTACACTTATTTTAAGTATACATCCTTAAATCAGTAGTGAAAATGCACATATTTAATATAAGCATTTTATTATATAATTTAAAATTGCATTTAATTATTATTATTTAATTATTATTCTATTAAATCAATGGAATTTTAAGATTTTCAAAATAATAATATACATTTCTATTTTTATTATTATTTTATTGTAATTATTACATTTATATTTAATAAAAACATTTTTGTGTATTTATTTAGAAGCATTATTAGTGGTTTAATATAAGCATTTCATTATATAGTTTAAAATTTATTTTAATTATTATTTTATTTACATGATTTTAGTATTATACATTAAATAAATCCAATTTCTTTTTTAATATTTATTTAAATGCATATTTTTTATATTCAATTATTGCATTAATATTTAATTTCAAATGTTTATGTATTTATTTAGAAGTATTAGTAATGGTTAATTGTAATGGCTTGAATTTTACAATAATTTGAAATATACATGCTTACGTCAGTTGTTAAAATGCACATTTATAATATAAGCATTTTATTATATAGTTAAAATTGCATTTAATTATTATTTTAATTGTTTATAATTTTATTATCAAATTAAATAAATACAATTGTAGGATTTTTATATAATTATATGTTTTTTATATTTATTTTATTTTACGCTCTTACGTTTATATTGAATTAAAAAAATGTTTATGTACTTATTTAGAAGTATTTGTGGTGGTTTAAATTAATGGATTGATGTCCACACTAATTTTAAGTATACATGCTTAAGTCAGTTGTTAAAATGAACATATTTAATTTAAGCATTTTATTATATAGGTACAATTGCATTTAATTATTATTTTAATTTACATGAAATAAATAAATACAAATATCTGTTATACTTATTTTATTTTACTTATTTAATTTTTTATTTAATTAAAACTTTTTAAAATATATTTTTTTAATATTGGCAATGCTTTAAGTTAATGTTGACTCTAAGATGCTCTTCTACATTTAGCATTGTCATTTTTACAATTGCATATTAAAAATGAAATAGTCTAACATTTAAAATGTATCTTGAAACCTCTGCTCTTTTTTATTTAGTTTCATCCATCTTTATTAACCCCCAAGAATTGTTACATTTCCTAATTCATTCACTATAATTTTAAATAAATCAAGCCATTGCAATTCTGCTAAGTGATTTGCCTAAGTGTGTGTTTCAGTGATTCCTCATAAGATCGGTCGAATAATCGAGGGCAGTCCGACTGACCGATGTGGACTGCTGAACGTGGGTGACCGTATATCCGCTGTGAACAGTCAGTCCATTGTGGAGCTCTCCCACAACGACATTGTTCAGCTCATCAAAGACGCCGGAAACTCAGTCACGCTCACCGTGGTTCCTGAGGACGGTGAGATAATCAAACGTCACATAAATATCCACGCTTTCTCAACCTCTGCCTGATGCTTTGATTTGCCACACTAACACAATAATGTAGCTTTAATTGAAACGCTAATATCCACAGAGAAATCTGATGTCAATTATGCATGCGTATTTAAATTGAGTGCTTTATGAAGGGCAGTTACAACAATTACTAGCCTATTTCAAAAACAGAGCATTAAAATAATTGCCACCTAGACATGAATATGATTAAAAAAATAAAGCAGGCCTTTTAGAGATCTTGATCTTATTGTTAAATATAATTAATAAGTCACATTACAAAAAGTTAAATGGGTTGTGAATGCTGTTTTATGAGTACTTTAACACTCAGAGCCAGATTTGTAAATCCTTTTTTGGTATAAAAACAGAGCTTCTGTCATTATTTGTCGAGTTACAAAAATCAATAATGTATAATTATTTAAAGTAAACGTATAATTTGTATTAGTTTTTCGTATTCTTTTTTGTTTTGCAAATGAACTCTTCAATGCACAATAACACAAATAATGCTTTATGAAAGTTTGAAAATAATAAACTATTTACTTATAGATTTAATATGCATTTTAAGAATGTTAAATCCCTAATCTAAATACTAGACTAATTAATCAAATTTAATATTAATAAAAAAAACAACCATTCATTTAATTTTGCTAATTAAATCTTGATATATTAAGCAATAAAAAGGCATTATTTTTGTGATAGTGGGATAGTTCACCCAAAAATTAATATTTACTCACTATTTACTCTCTATTTACTGACCCTTTATGAGTTTCTTTGCTCTGTCAAGCAATGTTTTGAAGAAAGCTAAAAAAAAAAACATGTAACGACTGACTTCTATAGTAAGAAAAATAAATGTTGACACTTTTTCAAATTGAATTACAGTCTCTCACATATATGCTGTTAAGCAAACCTGTTCTTTACTGTGTATCAGCCCATATGATAATCCATTTGTTTTGATTTGCTGTTTAAAGAGTACAAAGGCCCGCCTTCAGGAGCCAGTTCAGCCAAACAAAGTCCAGCACCACAGCACAAGACCCTCAAATCCACTCAGGACGAGAGGTGCAGTATTTAAACCACTTCAGATGACATCATTGTCTTTGTAAATACGTTGAGAATCCATGTAAATTCTACAAGCACAGATCAAATTAAGCTCTTTAAGGAGGATTTAAGCTGAATCTGTGCACTGTAATGTGTGCTTTTGACTGTATGTGCAGGTATAATTTGGATATGGATGAGATCAGGGACGAGCTTACATGGACGGAGTATAAAACGCCAAACAGGCAAGAGTCCAAACAGGCAAGAATCACACTTATATCACTATATATATCTACCTAAGCATGAAGGGTCATTCATGATGCATATGCAAATTCGAGTATATCCAAACAAAGCATGAAAAATTATTAGAACCAGTATTTCATATACTGTAAAAGCATGTTCATGCCATCTCAAGAGGAAAATACATAATAAATGTCATAAGTGGCATTTATAGATTATTTTTTATTTATATGTTCTCCGGGGTCTATATACACTCTAAAAATGTCTGTAATTTAGCAGTTTTCTGCAGTTTAAAATTCATGTTTTATCATTTATATTATTTTTTTTATATTATTATATTATTTATGCTTTTGAATTGTTTCCTACATAGGGCTGTATTGCAGTTGAGCTGGAGCGTGGTCCTCGTGGTTTCGGCTTCAGTCTGAGAGGAGGAACGGAGTACAACATGGGCCTCTACATCCTGCGTCTGGCTGAGGATGGTCCTGCTTTACAGGACGGCAGGATACACGTCAGTACAGCACAGCACTCTTTAATAACTCACAGATTGAGGATGGAATTTGAGGGAACAGTGCATTTAAAGGGATAGTACACTCAAGGATGAATATGAATATAATTTACTCCCTCTCTTTCTCTCTCTCTCTCTCTCTCTCTCTCTCTCTCTTTCTCTCTCTCTCTCTCTCTCTCTCTCTCTTTCTCTCTCTCTCTCTCTCTCATGTGGTTTTAAACCTTTATAAGGTTTCTTTCTTCTTTAAAAAAAAAGATATTTAAAATAAATGCTGCCATCCATTGACTTCCATAGTTGGAAAACAAATCCAGCTACAGTTCCAGCTTTCTTTAAAATATCTTCTATTATTGTTTAGTTTGAACAAGTGAAGGATGAGCAAAGGATGACTGCATTTTCATTTTTGGTGAACTATTGCTTTAAATTATGTAAAATCACCCACTCAGTTTCACTAACTTTCTGATTTATGAGGTGTCGCCACAGAGAAATGAACCACTAATTACTCTGGAATATGTTTTACTTAATGGATGTTGTAAAATCTAACTTTGGAGGAGGATTGCTCAGATATTTTAGTTAATGGAGAAATATTAAATATTGTTTATTTTAAATAGTTAGGTATAATTATTGACTCAAATTTAAATGAAGAAAAAAAAACATTAAGTAGTTTTCCAAAAGTGTTGGAGCATCCCTGAGGATATCTGAAAACATTAGGCACCAGTTTCCTATGACAAGGGCCAGACAGAATCTGCGGACATTTTTTGCTATTTCTGTGGAGAATTTTGTCAAAAATCGGCAGATTTATGCGGAATGATTTTGAGAGGATCATAATTAAAAACTTAATTTATGAAATAAAAATAATATTTTTCTAAATTTTATTTAATGTTTACAGTGCAAACCCAATAAGATCCACTTATTCCAAACAAAGCAAGTTTCTAATATAATATCTCTACTAAAAGACAGAAAATATTACTTTACAAACTGAATTGTAAATAAATCAAATAAACACTTTCATATTACTATTAACATATAACAAAAATTATACTGTAACTAATTTAAAAACTGAATAAATATAAATGTACACAAATTTACACAAGTAAATACATAGACTCAATGAAGGGCTAAAATTCGGCAAAATCTGTGGATTTCTGAGCACGCAGATTCCATATATACCTGCCAATGACTGCTGCTAAACTTTTTATGAATATAATAGTCTTCCCTCATTCATCCTATTGTGCTACAGGTTGGCCCACATGAACATTACAGCATTGTATATTCTTTATATTTGTATTGTATATTTATTATATTTATGCTGATGTGTGTTTAATGTATAAAATATTTAATGATCTTGCACCACCACCTCTCAAACAATGTGTGATTGTCTGCAAGGACAATATAAGACAGACTAGGGCCACGTTACACTAATGAGTTTTAGTTTTAAAACGCATACGTTTTTATCTACGGTACTCTTTCCGTCCATACTACTCAAGAGTTTTCGAGTGCCAAAAACTGAGGCCGTTTACTTTTTTTCTGCTGCTCCGTGTCAGCGTGGATGGGGAAAACATGGCTGCAGCCAATAAAAACATGATATAACTGCATATTTTGATGTTGACAACTTAACAGACACCAAAAATGTTGAGGCATCATCTTCACTGTATGCAGATTTACAGCAAAAGCCTATAATATTACTGCCTCCTTTCATTTTCTCGAATAATACGAAACATACTCTGTCTCTTTTGCTGAATATCAGTTTATCAATCTATAAAGGCCATTATAAAAGTATAACGTACAATAGGTTTTGATAGGAAATAAAGGCAAGCAATCAGTCAAATGTGCAGAATCAGTGTACATGGTTAGATTAATTAATATATTAACTTATCTTAGCACTCTGGCAAAACATGTTAACTGAGGACAAGTAATAGATTGAAAAGACCAAAGAGTCGTTAGATAGAGATAAGATGAATTAAATATCACTAAATTAAATATTTAGTTTTACAACTAAAGTGAGATGAGATCCAGCGGGATATCCTTGATGAACTGTCCGATGTGCGCTGCTCTCACCTGGGGAGATGTACTCAAAGCACCTGCTTTGTATGTTTGTGTGTGTGGTCATGTGATGTACGTTTTCAGAGGTGAAGTGTGGACGAAGAGCTGTTCAGAAACACTAGGTGAAACGCCAGTGTGGATGTGGATTGTTTTCGTTCAAAAACACCTAGGTCATTGTTTGGAGGTGATTGTTCAGTTAAACCCAAGAGAACTGTTTTTGGACGATCTGGTTTTTTTTTTTTAGTCAGAGCAGCAGAAAGATGAAATAAAATACCAGTGCATATTTGAGAGAGTACCACTTTTATTAAATTAAAACTTCAAATAAAATCAAATATGCAACCACTGATTTGATTTCATTCTATTGACTATGATGTATTGTTTGTATTGTACTGAGTGTATATTGTACTATTTTTATTTTTTTTAATCATGTTAAACTTGTTACAACTTCCTGCCCATGGACTACAGATGTTAATTAGCTTTATAGCTAACTCTAGCACAACATGTCAATAAATAAAAAATATATATATAAATAAAACAAATAAACTAGTTAAATGATGGTTTGCAGATGTCTTTCAGATGGCATTTTGATTTAGTTATGTAAAGTACAACAGGAAGGCATTTCATGGGATTTTCGGACTTTTCATGGGATTGATTTGAAAACAAAAATGCATTTGTTGACTACTGTGTTGGATGCTTTGAATAAAAAATGTCTGGCAGATGCATAAAATATTGATGATATTTGGTCTTTAGCTATGCTGCCCTTACTATACTGTCTAAAGCTGAAAGCTATGAGATATTTGAGTAATGATGTAACACGTAAAAGTTCAGATGTCTGAATGTGCCCTTTGCAGGTAGGAGATCAGGTTGTGGAGATCAATGGCGAACAGACACAAGGCATCAGTCACACTAGAGCCATTGAGCTGATCCAAGCTGGAGGAAACAAAGTGCTGCTGTTACTACGACCACAAGCCCTGCTGCCAGAGAACAGTGAGCCATGATGACACTTAAACACATGATCATGCCCATCTACTGGACATCACCAGCTTGCTAACTCTTTCTTTCTTTCTTTCTTTCTTTCTTTCTTTCTTTCTTTCTTTCTTCCTTTCTTTCTTTCTTTCCTTCCTTCCTTCCTCTTATTGTCTTGTGTACAGGTTGTGTGAGCTCCTCCACCGTGTGTTACTGCCCCCAGGAGCATCATCACTAACAGCCTCTGTTTTCCTCTAGGTCTTTTTTCTTTGGTAATGGGACTTTTACTACACTTTCTTTTGCTGCATAATTGCTAAATTTTCTTCTAGACTTGTCTATTTTTGTGCATGCTCTTTGCAATTATGACCCATAGCAAAATGGTTTCACACAATATATATGCAATTATTTTGTGTGAAGCCATTATAAATGTTGTATATATACTGTAGTTAAAGGCAAAATTATTAGCCCTCCTGTAAAACATTTTTAATGGAACAAGAAATTTTATATGTATTTTTTTATTCTGGAAAGGTTATTATTTTCCTTTAATCTGGCTGGAATAAAGTAGTTCATCTTTTAAAATGAAAATAATTTTCAAGTTCAATATTATTATTTAAAAAAAATATTTTTTTTTTATTGGCTACTGCGCCACTGGTCTCTAATTAACCTAGCTTTCCTAGTTAAAATGATAACCTGCAAGTTAAGTTGAAAAATATTTTAATTATTCCTTCATTCGTTCATTCATTTTTATCCGCATTTCCGTTGCCGGGTCGCGGGGCCAGCAGTCTCAGGAGAGAACCACAGGCTTCTCTCTCCACAAACACTTTTATCGCCTCCTTCAGGGGTATCCTGAGGCGTTCCCAGGACAGCTGAGAGATATAGTCCCTCCAGCATGTCCTAGGTCTTCAGGAGGCCTCCTCTCGGTGAGACATGCCTGGAACACCTCCTTAGGTAGTCGTCCAGGAGGCATCCGAAACAGATGCCCGTGCCACCTCAGCTGACTTCTCTTGATGTGGAGGACCAACGGCTCTACTCCGAGCTCCTCCCGGATTACACAACTCCTCATTCTATCTATAAGGGTGTGTCCTGCCACCCTGCAAAGAAAACTCATTTCGGCCACTTGTATCCGAGATCTTGTCCTTTGGGTCATGACCCAAAGCTCATGACCATAGATGAGTGTAAGAACGTAGATTGTCTGGTAAATCGAGAGCTTTGCTTTTTGTTTTTTTTACCACAATGGCTGGTACATCGACCACATTGCTGCTGCTGCTGCTGCCGCTGCACTGATCAATCTCACGTTCCATCTTTCCCTCACTCGTTAACAAACCCCCAAGATACTTGGACTTTCCTTTAACCAAGAGATGGCAAGCCACCTTTTTCCAGTGGAGCACCATGGCCCCTAACTTGGAGGTGCATCACACTCAGCAGCAAACCTCCCCATTACATACTGAAGGTCCATATTCGATAAAACCAACAGAACCAATAGTTTTATATGTAAACTATTTTGTTTAACAATTTGTTGAAAAAAAATCTCTCTGTTTAACAGCAATTTTAAAATATAAACAATTGAAAAGAAATACAATTTCACAGGAAGGCTAATAATGTTGACTGTATATCACTCTAGCCTCTGCTCAACACTCTAGCAACCACCTACTGTAGTGTTGACCGAACACTCTAGCAACCACCTAGTAACCACCTTTACACTCTAGCAATACACTACTCCATTGGTTACCTAGCACCTACCCAGAATTCTATCTCCCCCAGCATTTGCTACCAGCCACAACAGCTTAGCACAGTGCAGTTTAGCACAAGCAGATATAATTGCTTTCCATGGTCAGACTTATAAGGCTTTAATTAGTCATTGAGCTTTAATGCAAAGTAGCGTAACAGATCCAATCTTCTGTCCCTCAGGTTCTGCAGGAGATGTTATCCTTCCTGATCCGCCGGGATCCCACACTTCCAACATTCCTCTCAGTTCTCATCCAACATCCACCTCAGTGAAGAAGAGGACGGGCCTGACAGACGGCTCTTTAAATCCCTCTAAAGACAGCAAGAGGGAGAAACACACCAAAACACCAAACACCAGCTCGTCCAGAGTCTCACAGCAGCCGCGGCGCATCAAGAGTCGCTCCGCAGAGAATCTCCTTGATCTCGGAGATACAGAGAAATCCAAAAGCCCATCCAAAGCCAAAGACAAAGCTCACAGCCACAAAGAAAAGCTTCAACAAAGCACTCGAGACTCCCAGAAGAACAGATCATCCCGCCAGCACAGCCGCTCCGTCAGCCCTCAAAAGTCCAGGCGAGAACGTCAGGAAGTGGAAATTGGCGAAACCGAGGAAAGCCACTTGGACCAAAGGAAAAGTGGCACAGATAGGAGGAAAAAACGTGAGTCTGCGGTAAGGAAGCGAAATGAAACCCAAGAGAGAGAATCTGAGAGAAAAGTGAAGAGCAAAGAAGATGAAGAGGTCCAGCGAAAAGGCCAAGCTGAACTTGAAGGCACCCAAAAGAAGAAAAAGCAGAGAAATATAGAGATGCAAAATGGAGACACCCTTATATCCCCAGACAGGAAGAGCAAACAAACAAAGGATAAGGGATCTTTGAGGGATCAGAGGAAAGAAAACAAGAAGGAAATGATTAGAGACGGGAGCAAAAACAAAAGGAAAGGAAATGAGAGCGAAAACAGTAAAGACGACATTGACAGCACAGATGCGGCTCCGCTCTCCACCAGAGCGAGTCTAGTGTTTGACCACCCAGGACCCTTAAGTGAAGGCCTTTGGAAGGATCCGAGTTATGTTAGAATTCTCACTCGCGAGGAAGTGATGCGAGATGTTTTCGAGTAGATTGATGATGCTTTGGAAGAGAAGGTTGTAAGACCAGAAATATATGCTGGAATGTGAATGCTTCTAGAAAAGACACTGCAGTCGCGTTTGATCAGCTCATCATTAATATCTAGTGTCATTTAGTTTAAATCATTCATCAGGGCTGCATGATATTGGAGAAAAACTGACATTGCAGTACTTTATTTTTCTCTGAAACGCATTGCGATATTGAGTGTACTTTCACTAGATGGATGAATACCTTTAGTTGGGAAGAATTTGTCATTTTAGGTAGATTGGAATGACTTTGTATTGGGAGAGTACATCTGTTTAAAATATAAACAAATCAACCACAAGCGTTGATTAATAGTAATTCAATTCATCTTTATTTCTATAGCACTTTTACAATGTAGATTGTGTCAAAGCAGCTTAACATAGAAGTTCTAGTAAACGGAAACTGTGTCAGTTCAGTTTTCAGAGTTGAAGTTCAGTTTAGTTCAGCTCAGCGTGGTTTAATTTTCCGAACACTGAAAAATAAATCCAGCAAAGTCCCAAACCAAGCAAGACAAAATACAGTGGAGCAAAGATACACAGTATGTAATGTTTTTTGACAATCTTGCAATTAATCAAATGTAAAATAACACCACTGTCTTCATCGGATACATAAATATAAACCTGACTTAACATTGCAGATCCTGCCATGTGATTATTGCATATGCGCACATTGCAAAATCGATGCTGTATTGTTCAGACCAAATTTGAATATGTGCACACTGCCATCAAACACCAAACAAACAGACCAAGACCACTGAAATAATGATTCTTAAAACTTTAATGTAGAACCATGGTGTAGATGAAAAACTCTGAATTAACTTACATTTCATTAGGCATAATACAGATGATAGGAAATGTCAATTAAATAATACAGCTGTAAATGAGCATGTACAGTAAATATTAGAAATGCAGAGTAATAATTATTTATTTGATGAAACTAAAATTTTTGGACATATTTGGCTGAAAACCAAACCTGAAAATGCTTTGTAATATTTATTTATTTATTTATTTATTTATTTTATGAAATAATATAAAGGGATTTTGTAAGAATTTCAAATTTAACTCAGTAACTCGTAAATTATAAAGATAAAAAAACACAAGCCAATAAAATTAACACATTTATTTGACATTATGATTTAGAGTCATTTTATCAGCATTGTCACACCAGCAAATTAGCGCTTTTCATTTCATACCAACTTCAAGCTCTGTAAAAAATGTAATGACAAAATGTCAAGACAACAAATACATATTTTTAATAATTCACTTTATTTATTTTCCTCAATTATTTAGCAGTACGGCAACATGGTGGCTTAGTGGTTAGCACTTACAGCAATAAGGTCACTGGTTCGAGTCTGCTGTGTCAAGTTTGCATGTTCTCCCCGTGTTCGCTTGGGTTTTCTCCGGGTACTTCAGTTTCCCTCATTGTCCAAGGACATGTGCTATAGGTGAATTGAATAAACTAAGTTAGCCGTAGTGTATGAGTCTGACCGAGTGTGTATGGATGTTTCCCAGTACTGGGTTACAGTGTAAAACATATGGTGGATAAGTTGGCAGTTCATGCCCCTGTGGCGACCACTGATGAATAAAGGGACCAAACCGAAGAAAAATGAATGAATGAATTTAAGAGTACAACATTGCATCTTTTTAATGCCCCCGTTCTCTTCCACTCCCCAACAGCATCAGTTACAGTAAATAGATGTTGCTATTATAAATCCAATAAACTCAGATAAATAATTTAAACTCATAAAGAAACCAAACAAACAAACATACAAAAATAATTAAATAAGATAATTACATGTTTACTGTGCGTCTCACCACAGTCATCTTTTTCAGCCTCCAAAAAATGGCAACTATTTTCTCCATCTTCTTCGATAAACATCCAATTCATCAAGTAATCTACTGTATACATCATTTTTTCATATGCTGCTCTCTTCCCCATTTCTGTAATCCATTCTTGAAATAATGGTGAACCTGCTGACCATCATGACAACAAATATTTTTTTCATGTTGCTTTAATTTATTTTGATTTTATTTATTTTTAGTTAATCAGATTTTAACTACATTTACGTTATACAACATACATTTTTTTTCAGTTTGATCGATGTAAGTTGAGATGAAAAGAAAAGTTTGACTTATTCAACTAAAAAATTAAAGGGCGGCTTAATGGCTCATTGGTTAGCACTGTCGCCTCACAGCCAGGTTCGAGTCCCGACTGTGCCAGTTGGCATTTCTGTTTGTAGTTTGCATGTTCTCCTCATGTTCTTGTGGGTTTCCTCCAGGTGTTTCTGTTTTCCACCGTCCAAAGACATGCACTCTAGATGAATTGAATAAGCTAAATTGGCCATAGTGTATGAGTGTGAATAAGAGAGTGTATGGATGTTTCCCAGTACTGGGTTGTGGCTGGAAGGGCATCAGCTGCGTAAAACATATGCTGGAATAGTTGGTGGTTTATTCCGCTATGCCAACCTCTGATAAATAGGGCACTGAGCCAAAGGAAAATGAGTGGGAAAAAAAAAAAAAGCTGAAAATTGCTTTTCCAGTGTGGTCTTAATTATTAAGTATTAAACAATCTGGTTTATCCATCTCAAGGTCTTGCTTTGTTTCCTGAGTGAATATGAGGGTTTCATACGGTCCCAGTGACTCTAACAGATGCAGTCTTATGTTAGTTTCTGATTTCCGAGCATATGTTTTTGGTCTGAACACCTTGTTTTCCTAATGCTTAGTTTGAGAGTGTCACTGATGTGAAGCATCTCCTCTGGACGCTGGTCAACATGAGCTTCTTCTTCAGTTTATTGAAACATGTTTGTAATCAACAATCTCGCTGTTGCACAAACAGACTGATTCAACACGAGGCTTCATCCAAACCGCTTAATCATCTTGGATAAAGAATTTCTGAGGCTTCCCGCTCAAACGCATGGAACTTGACATTAATTTCCTTCAAAACCAAGGACAATGCAATCCTTCCTTATGCAACTTAAGGGAACCCGCCGCATCAATCACCAAAAACAACAATGCAAGTTTACGGTTCACTCACAAACAGCACGTCCTTACCCCAAAGAGTCTTCTTCTTTAGTTTTCTGCATGCCGATCACACAAACTCTTTGTTTTGTTGCATGCCTTTTAGACCCGTGCAGTTTGTCTCTAATGTTGTAAATACTGGGCTTTACCAGGGACTTTAAGACTGTTTCTCTCTTTCTCTCTCTCTTCCACGTCTTTGACTCCCTGAACTCCAAATATCCTAATTGCAAATGACCAGAAACTTGTGCTTTAATATACCAAGAACAAGATCAAATGTTTATTTATTGAAAAAAAAAAAGATGTATATGATTAGATATATGTAGCTATAAGAGATCGTGACATTGATTTCGGTGTAGAGATCCAGGCTCTTGCTAAGCAGCGTGGTAGTTTTACCTTGTAGCAACTGTTTTATGACTCGTCACAAAACAAACGGTACATGCAAATGTATTTTTTAAATGTTCTATGAAAGCAGATTTCATATGGTAGATATTTATTTTGTTTTATTTTTCAAGATGTGAGCAAGCAGTGAAAGCAATTCAACCTCTCAGTTAGGAGGCCATACTGTACTTTACAGCAGTCAAGCTTCGATCTATGACCATAAGAAGGTATGTATATGGTTCAATCCCATGATGGTTGTAAAAGGTCATATTTCACCTCAAATTCATATTTTACATTAGACATGTAGACATGAGGCCTGTTTTAAAGATTTTTAATTATTATTATATTTATAAGAGCTGAAAATGTCCATTAGTCTAATTTAAGTAAAAATTAAATCATATAAAAGTTTTTGATTTCATACTTAAAAGATCTAAAAAAAAAAAAGATAGATGTACTTCATTGTGTTTGATTGACTTTTTTTTAAAGTTAGGGCTTTTGTTAATGAAATGAAAATGAAATTGTGTTTTATAGTATTTTAATATAAACAAACATGCACAATCAATCTAATAAATATAGTCACAGTTAAAAAGCAAACTGTTTGTTTTCATTACACCTATTTTTTTATTAAAAACATTACATTTCATGCATTAAGTCACTCAAAAAATTTTTTAATGAACTGAATGAATTGAATCAACACAATTCTTAAGATGTTTTTGGGAAAACTTCATTGTTTTATGTTCAATCCACTTTGTAAAAACAATTAAATTAACTTAATCGATTTGTGTTGGGACAAAACAAAGGAATTGTGTGGAAACCTGCATTTGTTTGTGTAAAACTCCTTAGAATAAGTTGTTTTATGCAATATTAACATTTGATAACTACGTATAAATAATAACTTTAAAATACATTTTTCAAAAATGTAACAACAAAATGTCAAATCAAATATTTTTATGTTGTTTTAACTATTAACTGTTTTAACTTTAAGTTAATTAGGTTTCAAGTTATTCAAAGTTTAACCTAATAGTTTTATTCAGTTTGATTATAAGTTGAGATTTGAAAAGTTAATTTGATTCAACTAAAAATAATTTAGGCAGCAATTTCCAACCCAGGCTCATTCTGAAAGCGTACCTCTACATTTCTGAAGAGCGCGAAAAACATCCCAGGAGCTGATTTTTTATTTATTTTTTTTTTTTTTGCAGTTTTTGTTTTCGCAAATCTACCAGAGGCTGCTCTGTATGCTTTTTGAGATCTCAAATTTCTCTTGCAAGTGCCATTCGTGTCTGCTCTTCTCGCTGACCGATACCCCCATCCACCCCTTCCCTAAACCCAACCGATTGTGTTTTCAAAAGCACCGGTTGACCTGTGCCTACTCACCTTCCTAAACCCAACCAACAGTGTTTTGAAAAGCTATCCAGAAAAAGAGGACCCAAATGATTTTACCACGTTTTTCTGATTTTACCACATTTTCACCCTGTTATTTAATTGTTTTATTTTTTGCCTTTTATTTTGTACCTGCTTTTTCTGGAACCGTTCTTCATTGTAACAGCTGTAACGCAGTCCACACAGAGGTAAGCTGTTAGCTACTAGTGCGAAAAGGAACAGCGTCATACCACCCCGTAGCGTTCGTATTTAAAGACGAAATGTAGCCATATGTTGATCTGACTACATAATTCTCAATCTCCAGATATAGGGGATATATATAAGGCTACGCTCTTTGAATGAGTCTATGTTGACAATTTCTTTTACAGTGGATGTTGTAAGTCACTACTACAAAAACCATCCTAGGCTCATTCTGAAAACGTATCTCTATATACATTTCTGGAGAGCGCCAAATATGTCCCAGGAGCTACGTTTTTTTTTTTTTTTTTCAAAGTTTTTGTTTCCGCGAATCCACCAGAGATTGTTGTGTATGCTTTTTGAGATCTCAAATTCCACCAACGTACATGGCGAGCCACTGGACAAACTGGTAACTGTGGGAAAGCCGTCAATATGTAGGTAAACAGTCAGCTGGTTAGCGTGAAAAGGATTGCCATAATACTGCCCGGTAGCTTTCGTTTCAAAATCAAAATGCAGCCATACGTACTTCTGGCTACATAATTCGCGATCTCCAGAAACATATATAGGGCTGCGTTTTTAAAAACATTGAATAATTAAACGTAATAAAAACAAAAGAGTATTTTTAGAAGATATATGTGCTTAATTTCATGAATAATATCACAATGCAACAAATTCCAAGAGCAGACTTCATCAAACCTCACTGGTTTCTTATTTTTTCTCTTATTTTAATTTGGAGGTGAAATATGACCCTGGTGTTTTTCTGTCAGATTCACCCAACTATGAAAAACATTCACTGTTTAAAATGGTTTCTTCCCAAAACATGTATGTTGCAAGTATAATGTCTTCAGACTATCCACTATATTTGATGATCATCAGCTAATTCTGTCCATGCTTGCCTGCGACACATGCTCAGTAGCGGGAGGTTTTCTGAAAGGGCTGATTTACTGGGGTTTAGAGGTCTGAAATGTGGCCAAGATAAACATGTATGGTGTGAATTCATAGCAAATTATATGATATCAATACCAAAGGAGTGGTGGCCATTTCATATGCTGTGTGTGAAGTGATTATGACCTCAGGGTTTGGATATGTACAATAACTAGCGTTCAATATAAATGACGCTGAGAACGCAAAACTAATTACAAAGACAAGATAACTGTTCATAATATCTTGTGTTGGTGATGTATTGTTTTTTATGGCTATTAGAGACTACCAAACCTGTTTGAGTACGACAAAATGTGAAGAAATGTCATAAAAGCAATGTTGTCATATGCTGTAGATACATAAATCATCTAAGTGTTCGTATTTAAAAGTG